AAGGTAGGTTATTTCGAGTCGGAGCTGTGAGCGATGGAGGAAGAGGAGGAGGAGGAGGAGGAGGAGGAGGAGGAGGAGAAGAAGGAGGAGGAAAAGGAGGAGGAGGATGTGGGGAGGAGTGGTATGGTTTTGGGCGGGCTAAGGGATCGGGTGGTGTGGCTGATAGCTGTGCGCCTGCATGCGCAACCATGGGTGCACAAGAGTCTGCCCATGCAGCTTCCAGAATTGTACGGCAACTGCGCAGGCCGCACTTGTTCATGGCGCGTGGCAGCCTCTGTGTTCGTCACTTTCGGCTAGTGCCGTGCGGGTTCTACCGCAACCGAATTTCAATTTCGCTGCCGCGCATACCTAGACGACCACCCTGCGGGTAATAAGGAGGTCCGGGGGGGATGAACCAAAGTCTCACTCAATCGATCTCACTATCGATATCACTGTCGATGTCACTGCCGATCTCACTCGATTGATCTCACTATCGATCTCACAATCGATCTCCCGATCGCTCTCACAGTCGCTTTCACTGTCCTTTTCACTATCGTTCTCTCGAGCACGATCGATCTCACAATCCCTCCCACTATCGATCTCACTATCCGTCTCACTATCGACCTCACGGGACCCAACGGGACACCACGGGACACCGCGCCACGGGACACCACAGGCCACCGCAGGACACCACGGGACACCACGGGACACCACGGGACACCATCGGGACACCACGGCGGGACATTTTCGGCCACCACCGAATGCCCCAGGGGGGCGGTCTTTTGGCCAGGCGGCGCCCTGACCAGAGGAGGATTCCCTCCCCTCGCCCACGCAGCTCCGCCTCGCCCGCACGCACGACGCGATCATGAAGCCGAGACCGAGTTTCCGGTGGGGATCTCCTCCGTTTCACTGCGATCTCACCCCCTCGCCACCGATCCGCCACGGTGCTGTGGGGGGCATAGTGGGGCCACGGGCCCTCCGACCGTTAGCGTCGCTTTCGGTGTCTCCCCTTCGGAGGAGGCCCATCACAGTAGATGGGTGCACGTGAGCCTCGATCGGATGGGGTGGAGCTCAGTGTCAGAGGGGCAAGCGGTCATGATAATGCTACGTTCCAAACATTTCACGGTTTCCAGGATTCCCGTATTTATTGGTGTTCCGAACCGGCTGCACCAGTAACCCCGTGCCGATGATAATAAAGGACCCTCCCTTAACACGCTAGAGTTGATTATCCACGGCCAAGAAGAGTTTGGTCAGGGGCGCGGGGCGCGGAGGCCGAACTTGTTTATCACTGTGAAAAGTTCACCATCGAGGTCATTCTTATGTTGAGATAGCAACATCAAGCGAAGCGAAGACGTTCTCGAATCTGATAGATTTGGAACTTTGAATGTTCTCCTCCTCCTCCTCCTACTACTACTACTATTACTACTACTACTACTACTATTACTACTACTACTACTACTACTACTACTACTACTACTACTACTACTACTACTACTACTACTACTACTACTACTACTACTCTCGCTTTCTATTAATCTCTCTCTCTCTCTTTCTTTATCTATCTCTATCTCTCTCTCTCTATCTCTTTCTCTCTCTCTCTTTGTCTCTGTCTCTCTCTCTCTCTGTGTCTTTCTCCTTCTCCCCCTGGCCCCCTGAACTTTTTATCGCTGTGGTTTACTATCCACGGAAACCGAGGCACATGAGGCACCCTATACGAGCAGAAGATGTTCTTTCCATTGTTGTTTACAACTTAAATTCAAACAAAAAGGTTTGGAACGTTGGCTGTTCTCCTCCTCCTGCTCCTCTCTCTCTTTCTCTTTCTTTCTGTCTGTCTATATTTCTCTACTTCTCTCTCTCTTTCTCTCTTTGTCGAACTATTTGTATATTTCTGTCTCTGTCTCTATCTGTCTTCCTCCTTCTCCCCCTGGCACCTTGCATGTTTTTATCGCTGTGGTTCACTATCCACGAAAACCGAGGCGCGTGAGCTACCCTACACGATCAGATGAGCATCTGAATGTCCATTGTTTGTTTACACATAACGTTTAATAGGTTTGGAACTTTGGCTTTTCTCCTCCTCCTCCTCCTCCTCCTCCTCTTCCTCTCTCATGTCTGTCTATATTTCTCTACCTCTCTCTCTCTATCTCTATCTCTCTCTCTCTCTCTAACTATATGTATATTTCTGTCTCTGTCTCTCTCTGTCTTCCTCCTTCTCCCCCTGGCACCCTGATTTGTTTTATTGCTGTGGTTTACGATCCACTGAAACCGAGGCACATGAGCTACCCTACGCGAGCAAGGATATCTCAAGGGAAGCAACACGTGTTTGAGGATCTCTTTAAAACGAGGGCGTCTCAAGCGAACCGAACAGTTGCTTGAAGATGCCTCAAACGAAACGAGCGATTATTATATAATGTCTCAAGCGAAACGAACAGTAACAATCTCCGTAGCCATTTGGTGACTCAAGATTTCGAGCTCTCCAAGATAGTTAGTTGCTCCAAGCCGACAATGGAGCAGCGCGTCGTGCTCGAGAAGTTTCCTCGGCTTTCGACCCTCTTAACATCATCTCTTTCTCCTCCCACATGCTGGCCTCCGGTAGACAACATGTGTAATCCCCCCGCGACCCCGAATTTCATTATCCACGTGGGATTATTCTCCGGGGCACAGGGTTAAATGCCCTGGAAAACCTGGAATGTGTCCAGAGCCAATATTATCATGACTTCAGTCTCGCCCTACAAGTATAGCTCGTCGCTGGCAAGCTGCAAGGAAAAACGATGTCCCCGACTCGCACATACGCAGACGACACTTTGTGGCTGCAGATGAATTAGCCAGGACTGCTGCAGCAACGGCGAATTGCCTTACATTGCTTTGGTAGTATTTTTGTAGCTAGCCCGGCCGCTCGGTGTTTGACGGGCGGCGTCTTTTTCGTTCGCCAGATATGTTCGTATTGTACCCCTCGCGAGTGAAGGGTGGCAGAGCCATCCAGGTGGCGATGTTGGGTGGCGATAGCGGCGTGTATGCGCGAGATGGCCAAGCCGGTTGCCGCCTCCACGCCCATCTGGCTTTGTTATCTCGTTGGGTTTCTTCTCTTGGTTCGTGTCATGGTCATCGGCCTCCTCCGTCGTCTTCTTGATGCTCCTCCGTCCATCCCCCATCATCCCCTTATCCGCCTCAACGAGTCAGTGACTCTGACTGTCAGGCTGTCTGTGAGTCAGTCGGCCATTTTGTCAGGCAATGAGCCAGCCAGCCAGCCAGCCCTTCAAGCACGAGACCATTGAGTGCCAACCACACGAGAAGCAAGTCGGACAGTCGTTCAAGCCCTCAGCCTGTCAAAACAACATGTTCTATGATACCATCGGGTCATTCACCCCCGTGGTCAGCACAGTCCGTCTTCCTCCTTTGCTCGCCTCCTTGCCTTCCCTCCCTCGACCCCCTCCCTCCCTCGCCATCCTTTCCTCGCCCTCCTTCCCCCCCTTGCTCAACAGAAACCGCCTTCCTCTCTTTTGTCCTCTCCCCCTGTCCCCCCTTCCCCATACCTTACCCCCTTACACTCCCTGCCCCATCCCTCCCTCCCCCCCCCCCTCCCGGCTCCTTCGGGGTTCTCTAAAACGCCCCCGAAGGTTTTCGGAGGCCCGCGGAGGCCCTCGGAAGCTGTCAGATGTCCAAACGAGCTCAACATTGCTGAACCGAGCGAGCACCTCCAGCCCATTCGCTTTTGGATACCTCCTCCCGGCCTGGCCGCCAAACGTGTCCGTAAGCGAAGCTGGGCGGTTCGCCTGGGATTCGACTCTCTCCCCGTTCAGGACCCCGTTCAGAATGTCTAGCGAGTGCAGGGATGAGAGGGGGGTCGTGTTTATGATGCGCTTCTCGCCTGAGCGCCTCGCACAATTAGATCCAATAGTTCCAGCAGTTGCACGGGTGGAGTACAATTCGTTTTCAACACTCGCCTTAGCACCGCGCTCGTTGGTTTGGTTCGCTCTTAACAGTCACACGGTTGGAGCACAGGTCGCCATACGCTTGCACGGATGGAACACAGGTCGGTTGTTAAAGTTGGGGCTTGGTTTTTCGTTGTGCGCATTCTTCTTGTAAGGGCTTGCGCCAATCACACATTTTGAGGGCGTTTATTTTCAATGTTGGTTGATCGCCCCCGCGCCGCTCAGATTCGCTTTTAACAGCGTGCAATAAACACGAGTGGTGGGCGGTTCGTTTCCAAAATGTAATTCTCGCTTCAGCACCGCGCTCATTTGTCTGAACAGCTTCCAACTGCTACACGGGTGGAGCACAAGTCGCTTTCAACATGTGGTTCTTGATCTAGCGCCGCGCTTTTTCGTTCTGAAAGTCCAAGTCCCCATCACACACACATGGGGCAACCCCAGATCAAAACGGGACATTCGTTTGGGTAGTCTTTAGTCCCCATGCTCAGATATCGAAATGTGTCCAACCGCTACACGGATAGAGGGCTGGCTTCTTCTCAAGTCGGGGTTCTTGTTTGCCGCATTCTCGGGTTTGACGACCAGAATCTCAAGCATTGGGGAGCAGTTGCGCAGACCGACGGAGGCTCTTTGTCACAGCGGGGCTCTCGCGGGACTGTCCCGTGCACTCTATGATCATACCTCGTTGCCGTCCCTTCAGCTGGAAGCATGGACGCCCGCTCCGCTTCACGACGGGACTCTCGCCGGCATTGCAGGACCATGGGTCGCTCGCCTTTCAAGGGGCCATTCCCCGCAGTGAAAACGAATTCTTGGACTTTGGGCTGGCGGGCGTGTTGCAGCATTTCTGATGCGTATTGGGTTTGGTTGGGCCATATTTCTCCTCCTTCTCCTCCTCCTCCTTCTCCTCCTCTTCCTTCCTACCCTGCCACTGCCACGTCCCCCCGAGTCCGACTACGACCGCATCTACAAGCGCTTAGGGGCCACGTCGATGATGCTCTTCCAGCACGTCGTGCGTGCCCTCCGATCCGGCCCGTCCGACGGGGGCCCTCGGATTGCGGCCATGATGAACGATGAAGCACGATGAATTTGGCCAAGATGTCGCGGGATCTTGTCGACGCCGGTCGTGGCCATGCTCCATGCTGGCCGTCGCCGATTCGCGAGGAACGGTGACCATGGTTGACGCCGACGTTCCCCCCTGGCTCCGCCAGGGGCGCTGCCGATGCCAACGCAGCTCCACCGCACCAGCCTCGCTGGGAGGAAGAGGAGGACGACGAGGGGGATAGGGGCGGGAAGGAGGAAGAGGAAAAGAGGGCAGAAGGAAGGGCTTCCTCCTCCTGTTCTTCTCCCCTTTCGTCTTTCATCCTCGAGGAGGGGTCGGCCTCGCCCTGGCTCTGCACGAGGTGGTGCCCCTCGTCCCAGCAGTCCGCGTCCAGCTGCTGGCATCCTGCGCACCCGCCGCGGCGAGGGGTCGGTGTGGAGAGGGCTGCGTCGCGCCCCACCGCGACGGCGCTTGGAGGGCGTTGAGACCCGGCGCCCACCGAGATAGCTAAAGGCGAGGAGGTGCCCACCGTGCGCGCGGCATCGACGCAGATCTTGCCCGGCCGTTCCGACGCCGTGGGCAGATGGGCTGGGGCTGGGCTCCGCGCGAGAGTCCAGAGTGGCGACTGGTGCGGGCTCGCAGGGAGAGCCCCTGTTGCACTGGCCTGTGCGCTTCGAGTTGGACTCCCCCGCGGCCCTCTGAAGCCGAGCACCAGAGGTCGCCGTTACCCAGGTTCACTCCTGCGTGCGGCGAGTCGGGCGTGGCGAGTCGGGCAGGTTGGTGGGGTGAGCTTGTTGCTCGCCTCGGGTCGGACGAAAGTTCGGCATCGCTCGGACGTGTGCTCTCTTTCACGGCGAGGACCACCGAGGAGCATCCTGGATCATCTTGCGAGAGGAACGCACGAAGCCGAAAAGTGCAAAGGTGATGGACGACCGAGCGATAGGGTGGATACGTACGGAAGGGGGAGGCTGCAGGAAATCCGCCGCGTGCAGCCGGTTTATCAGCCCCGCCGTCCGGCGCATTCCCCTCGATACGCAATGGCGCCTCTGCGCCAGAAGGCGCGAGGACTGCTTCGCCAGCCCCTCCTCGATGGTTCAAAGATGGGGTCCTGAGGGATGGGGTCCCAAGGACGAAGTGCCCTAAACAATGTAAATCCACCCTTGGATCCCTTCCTATCTTTAGGACCCCATCCCTCAGGACCCCATCTCTGAGCCACGGAAATGCTGTGAATCCCCCTCGCTTCGTCCGACCCGGCTGCTGCCCTCCGCGGGGCACCGTGCAGGGGAGGATCGAGGTCCGATGGGTGTCCGTGGGCCTTGCTTGGGGCTCCTGGCAGCTGGAGTTCCAAAGGACCTCTGGAGTCACCTCCAGGTGCACCTGAGCGACGCAAAAAATGGGGTCGTCTGCGCCGACATTGGCGCGTAAGCTGCCCGCGCAAGGTCGCGCGTAAGCGCCCTCGTCTCCACTGTAGCGTTCCGCGCTGGCGGCCTGCGTAAGCCTCCGCGTGAGGTCGATATGTCATCTCGCGTGAGACCCGTTCCTGCTCGTCGCTCACCTGGAGATCTGGCGGCCCCTGGAGGCCTCCCGAAGGCGGGGCGGGGGCCCATGGAGGGGGCAGGCAGGCAACGCCACGCTGTCGTCCGGCCCGCAGGTGCGTCGGCAGCCGTGCCAGCCTCCTGTCGACCTCAGCGCGGGCCGCCTGATCCGCTGCCACGAGCCCTGCTGCGAGCCTTGAGGCGCAGTCGTCTCACAACGGGCGCTTTCGCCCAGTTCCGGGCCGGCGGCAAACAGCGGCCAACAGAACAGGACCCTCACAGATCCGTCCGGCTCGGAAGATGGCGCAGAAAGATGGGGTCCGGGGCTCCGTTGGTGATCTCCTGCGGCGCTGCAAGTTTGCCGCAGCGTCAGATCTGAGGGAGGGCGCCTCGCACGGTCACAGGTTGGCTGTCCGACAGTTCTTCGCAGGGGAGATAGGTAGGAGGGGCATCGCGCAGGTCGTGGCTTCTCTGGACTGGGGCGCCAGTAGCAGGCCGGAGGCTCGAAACCGCGGTGCCGCTGGCGGAAGCTCTGCGAGGGCGCGCGGAAGCCAGACGGCCCGGGAGAACTGCCTCCCGAGGTCTCTGGGGGGGAGTCTCCGAAGGGCCTCCTGTCCTTGGAAGCCCGACAAAACATACAAAGTAAGGCAGATCATAGATTCGATATTGGAACGTCGGGTATCGCTGTTGGGACGTGCGGGGATACTTCGGGCGTCGACCTTGCTGCGCTGTGCCCGAGGTATCTCTGGGTTCGGCTTCGTCACCGAGGAGAGGGCGCTGGAGGTGGAGGCCTTCGTCCGGTGTGC